ATTTATTATATTTGATTTTATATTAGATGATATTTTATTATTTTATATTTGTTTATATTTTATTATTATTATTTATTGTTGTTTATCTTATATCATTTATTTATTATATGTTGTATTGTTATTTATCATTGTTAATATGAAATGAATAATAATGAATAAATATAAATAAGAATAAAATGATATAAGAATATAACATAAATAATAAAATAAGAAATATATAATAGATATAAAGATAAAAGAAGAATAAAATAAATAAATATAAAATAAAATAAATAAAATAAAAAAGAATAAAAAAGAATAAAATAAATATTTTATTATATTTTTATTTATCTTTTATTCTTATTTCTTTTTATTATTTATTAAATTAACACATTGAATGTGATTATTTCAAATAAAATAAAACAAGAATGAAATATGAACATTTTTATATTCATCATTCATTCATTGATAGATGAAATGTTCATATTCATTTATTGATTTTATTTTATATTCTTTTTTATTTTTTATATTTCAAATAAATAATAATGAATAAAAATCATTTCATTTCAATTACAATGAATTGTTTTGGTGTGAAACGTTCTGGATATTGTTTTCTATAAAGTGCATTTAATATCCATTTATATTCAAAACAATCTTGATTAAAAAATGATTTTGTTTTATTATTTTCTTTATAAACAAAAATATTATTTCCACATCCATATTCATATCCAGGTAAAATGTGAGTATACCCAAATTCAAACAAACAATTACTTGTTTGTTTAAATAAACAAAATGAACGTTCTGGTTCTTTAATATCAAATTTATTCATTCCCCATATTCTTCCATTTGATTTTAATGAAAATAAAAATGATTTTGGATCATTTATATATTTATTAACTTTATCAATTTTTACATTAATATATCCTCCAAATTTATTTCCATTTGTATCTTCAATAATAATTATTATATGTTCTTTATTTATTATTCTTTGTTCAAATATTGATGTATTAATATTCCAATCATCAATATCTGAATCAAATATTATATTGGATACTTTTCTATTTGTCCATTTTTCTATTTTTTTCATTTCTTCCATTGTACTCATTCCTCTCATTATTCTTAATCTTTCTTCTTCTTTTCTCTTCTTCCTCTCTAAATAATCACTGTATTGTGTAAACCATTCTTCTTTATTTTTATTAAATTTTGTTTTAATATTATTAATTTCTTCTTCTAATTTCTTAATTTTATCTTTCATATTCATTTCTTCCATATGAATGATTTTATCTATTAGTTCATCTTTTGTTTTATTAACTGTTTCTGAATCATTATTACATTCTTCTATTATTTTATTCATTTGAATCTTAATTGAATCTATTTTATTAATTGTTTCTTGACTTTTTTCTATTACTATTCTTCTTCTTCTAATTATTTCATCTATTCTATCAAATACTCCTTCTCCTCTTTTAATTGATTCTGAATATGTTTCATTATCTTGTTTCTCAAATATTTCATTTTTAATACATCCTAAATAATATTGATATTGTTTAGTAGTATCATCAATTGATTGATAAATATTTGGAAGTGTTTCTACTAATTCTTTAATTAAATGATTATTCATCACTGATTCCATTTTAATTTAATGAATATCAGATTAAAATCAGATGATTAAATACACATTTATAACAAATCATTTATTTATTTATTTTACAACATTATAACAAATATCACTTTTATATTTTAAATAACAAAATAAAAACAAGAAAATAGAATATAATAAAAAATAATAAATAACAAAACATCTCAACATATTAATGACACATCACAAAATAATAATATAAAAGAAAGTGAGAAATGAAATAGAAATGAAAACACAAATGAAAAGAACAATCTACTCATAATCAGTTAGTGAAAATGATAGTAAATAAAAGTAAAATAAAAGAAAGGGAAAGAGAAAGAGAAAGTAAAGATAACGAAATAAGAGATAATGATGATATCATCCAAAATCAATGAGATTGTTATAATAAGATGAAGAAATGGAAGAAATGAAATAAAGAGATAAATTAAATCAAACACTAAATAACAATAAGATGAAATAAAAATAAGGAAAAATAAATGATACACAACAATGATTTTAATATCAAAATTGAATATGAAAAAGAATGAAATTGAAACACTGAAAATACAGAAATAAAGAAGAGTATAATATAATAAACCCTGTAATTATTTCAATTAATGAGATAATAAATGTAGAAAGCATTAAATAATAAAAGAGTTATCAATGAAATCACCAAAGAAGTTAACAATTGTGATAAAAAAAACATAAAGAATGTCATGAAAGATTATTTCAATCACAACTAAAGATACTTTATAGAATTAATTGATAATATAGGATTAGTCTTCAAAGAGTAAGAGAGAATAACTTTATTAACATTCAGTTAATTACTTTTTATTTAATTTATTTTTATTCAGTTGTTTGTAACAAAATAAATAAATAATATTTTGAATCAATAAAGAAATTAAATGTAATGATTTAGTCACTAGCCATAAAATGTACTTCTTTTCTTATTCCTTTGGAATTAAGAATTACTATTTCAACATTATCTCCAGTATGTATGTCTCTTTCACAAGCAGAAGTCATCACATCTCTTGCAATGTTTATTGCTTCTTGCTCTCCTAATGGTTCTGTTCTATCTTTTAATAATGAATCAAGTAATGGATATGCTAACTCTTCTCCACTACCACTACATGAATACTTTCTTTCTTCAAATGATCCAACTGCATCATAATTATAAGTAACTGCTTTCCCTTTACTATTAATTCCAGCTAATAATGAAAATGAATAATATGGGAAGAATCGATGTGAATATAATGTATTTGATAATACTTGTGCTACTGATTCTGTTGACATTTCTTTACCATTTTCATATTTATAATTCTTAATATGTGCTTTGATTTGATCAGTTAATTCTTTCATATCTGCTCTCATTCCACTTCCAGTAAAAATACATTTAGATGTTCTATTCATTAATTAATTTTTTTCTTATAATTTAATTATTAAAGAACAAACAATGGGTATATTTTGGAATCATTTCTTGTTAATATCATATAGTCTCTGCTCATACGTGTATCACTAGCAACCACAACAAAATCTTCTCCTTTAATAACAACACATGTTCTATTAATGAATATATTCTATTTCTTTTATAATAATAATACAAACCCACAATTATCTTCATATGGACTCCATTCATCTTTGCTTTTAGCTTCTCTTACTGGTTGTTGTGTAAACATTTTATTCTTTTCTTTTTTCAAGTTTTTTGTTTTTTTTTGAAGTTTTTATTTTTTTTCTCTTTTTGTTGTTTTTTCAATGGTAATTTTTATTATTTCAAAAAACCATTTAAAAACACAAATTAAAATATTCAAAATGCTTTTCTTACTGTGTTTAATCACATTATCTTATGCACTTGACATTAAAGGAAAGGTTTCTATGATTGGTAAACCAAAACTAATCACTGGTTTGTATAAATTTTCTTTACAAATAATATTAATTTTAGAAACAAAATGGATAATAATGTTGTAGATGATTTTGTTGATGTTTCTATTGTTATTTTGTCCTCTAAACAAAGAATTGTTGTTCCACGATATAAAAATGGGACATTTAATATGTTTGTTAAAAATAATTAATATAAAAACTGAAATTTATATCAATAGAAAGGGATTAGAAGATGGAAAATATCGAATTTATGTTGAAGGACCTCAATTATTAGAAAATGGTGAAGCTGTCGAAATTGTGAATCAAACAATTATATCAAGAAAATATGATAAATACCATAACTCATTAAATCTTGTTGGTCATCCAATAGATTTTACAGAAGTAAAAGATTCATTTGATTATTGGTCACTAATTAAGAATCCAATGATTATTATGGCTTTAGTTTCTTTAGGATTAATTGGATTTTCAAAATTAAGTATGTCAGCAATTGATGAAGAAGAAAGTAGAATGTTAAAACATCCTGATATCATTCTTCCAAATGGTCAACGTGTAGATCCAACAACACTTGTTCCAAAATTTATTAAAAGTTAAATGAATGATTTTTCTTAATAAACAAATTATATTTAATTTTTTAAATATTTCTTTTTACCTTATCTTAATACTCTACTTCCATAGCGTTCTTAGATTGGTTTTGAGTCATTTCTATTTCCTTTATCATTGAATTGAATTTCATATAATTTTGTTGACAAATTATATGTTGTTGTTTTAATTTCTCTAATTGTAATTTTAATGATTCTTCATTAAAATTAAATACTTTCTCATATTGATCCGATTCTAATTCTAAAAATCCATCTAATAACCAAGATAATAATTGTTCTTCAATTGGATATACTAAAAATGTTTTAATTTTACCAATAATAATTGAAGTCATTCTTGATTTAATTATCTGAAATAATTCTTGTGCAATTACAGTAACTTTTATCTGACTAATATTTTCACATAAATTATCTTCTTCTTGAATAGTAATATCTTTTTTAAATTCAACAGAATTAATACATGCATCAAAGTCATCCATTAACTTTTCTAAACATTCCATTTTTAATTTTATAATAAATGATAAATATCCTTGTTTTAAAACATTTAGAAATCCTTCAAATCGAGTTAATCCAATAATTCCATTTTCAATATTATTTGTTTTCATTTCTAATTTAAATAAATCTTCTGGATTTGATTGTGGTATTATTGGATCTTTTGGTAAATCTTTAATGATATTAATACAAATATCAAAAAAACGTTCTATCACTTTACTAACATTTTCAACAGCATTTTGCATTAATGGTTCAATAGCAATTTTTGATATATTCATCACAATTACTCGAGCCGCAAGTTCATCACTTGTTCCCATTCCATATGCTCCTCGAATTTCATCTTCTGTTGGTTCATTAAATTTCATTGTATCTAACTTGTTTTCATAAATTTTTAATACTCGTTGAATTTGTGCACCTCCACATAATTTACAATTATCATTTGACTCTGAATTTGGATTTTCTTCTTGAGCTGTTTGTCCATAAATCATTGGATTAATACCACATTTTCCATTAAGTAAATCTTTAATTGTTTTAGTAAATATTTGAATGAATTTAACACTTCTTTTTCTTAATAATGATGGATCAATATGTGTCATTTCCTTTTCTATTTCAATTATTTCATTTTGTGATTTATTTACAAATCCATTTAATTTATTAAGAGTTGGAATAAGTGCTTCTTTGTATTTCTTTTGTAATAAATTCTCTAGAAATATTTTTACTCGTGGAAATCCTAATTGTTCATGATATTTTATTTCATCAAATCCAATTTCAAGTAATTGACGATAATCATTTATATATGAATCAATAATATAATCTGAAAATTGTTCCATTGGAATATTTCTCTTACATGGTAATGAAATAAAAAATGGTTTTTTATCTCCAATAATTAATTCATCTCCATTTAAATAACTTGAAACTGTTTGACTATCAGTTAATTCTTTTACTCTATTATCAAATTTAGTGTTAATTAAAATAGTTCTATTAAAATTTGGATCAATTTCTTTAACAAGTGGTCTTGAAACTGAATTTGCCCATTCTGTAGTTGATTGTTCTAAACAAACAATTATTCGATTTGGAGGTGTTATAAGTTCTTTTACCATTTTATCTATATTTTCTTTTAATGCTTCATCTCCTCCTAACCTAAACCCAGGAGTATCAATGATTGTTAAATTACTACATCCACTAAATTCAACTCTTAATATCAATGGCTTATTACTTACACTTGTTCTTCCTGCAACATCACATGTTCGAGATACAATTTCTTTACTTAGATATTCTACAGGAATTTCCCTTTCTTCAAAAATTCCATTTTCATTCGCAAAACAACACTTTGGTGTACGTTGTTTTGGGTTATTAGACATTTGTAAATACAATGGTCTACGAGTTCCTATGGTTGATTCAACTACATTAAATTGAAACCCAACAAGTGCTTCAATAAAACTACTTTTTCCATCACTTTGCATCCCAACAACAACTATTTCTGGAGTTTCAATTGGTATTCCAAGACTTGTTGATAAACTTTGTAAATCATTGAATAATGAATGAAGTTTATGAATATTTTGATTTGGATTTGTTAGTTTTTCAACTTCTCTTCGTTCATTCTCACTTTTTTCACGAATTTGTCTATATAACTGATCATCAATTTCTCTTCGTTTTCTTTTTATTCCTCTTTGTATTTGAGGTACTGTGTCTTCATTTGTTTTTTCTTGTTGAGCAACAAACATTTGCATTAACTGTTGTTGCATTTCAGGTGTTAAATTAGAAAATTGAGTTTGTTGAATATTTGATACTGGTTGTTGAATGACTTGACTTTTTCCAACAACAATTTGTTCATTTTCTTTTGGTTGTTGTTTTAGTTGTTGTATTTTTTCTTCAATATTCTTAGACACTTTTTCTAATTGTTCTTCTGATATAATTTCTTCATGTCCCTTCTTCATTTAAAGCTGTCAGTACTTTCTTGTTCTTCTCAGTTAAATACTTTCTCAAGATTATTAAACAATATGAACAGACATTATCAAGTTCATCAAAACTCAAAAAAAAAAACGTTATAAATAACAATTTATAAACTAAATGAAGACGTGGTTAAAAATAATGATGAGTTGTATTCCATCAAAAAACAGAAAATAAGAGAAGGAATTTGAAGCAAAAAGAATAGAAGGAAATAAAAAAACACTTCTAATCATTCTCGTGAGTCACTCCAAAAACTTAAGAGGGTTTTTAGATGAAATACAATTAAATCTTATTTGCAAAACATGTCATCCACAAACGAAAATATTCCTCAACCAATAGTTCGTGATATTAAACTATGTCAAAACGAACATATTCCAACAAAGGTATATAAAACAAGTAATGAAGCAAGTATAGCTGCTGCGCATGAAATTATTGAATTAATTAAAGCTAAAAATGGACATGCAGTATTAGGACTAGCTACAGGATCAACTCCAACTGCTATTTATGCTGAACTCATTAGAGCAAATAAGGCTGGAGAAGTATCTTTTAAAGATGTAATAACATTTAATCTTGATGAATATTATCCAATGAAACCAGATCAAATTCAGTCATATCATAAATTTATGAATGAAAATTTGTTTGATCATATTGATATTGATAGAAAGAATATCCATATTCCAGATGGAACTCTTCCCACTGATAAAATTGAAGAGTTCTGCTTAAATTATGAAAAACAAATTAAAGAGGCTGGTGGAATTGATATACAAATCTTAGGTATTGGACGTTCTGGTCATATTGGATTTAATGAGCCAGGATCTCCAATTACTTCTATCACAAGAAAAATTTACTTAGATAGAATTACTCGTTTAGATGCATCAGGTGATTTCTTTGGAATTGAAAATGTTCCACTTCAAGCTATTACTATGGGTGTTGGAAGTATTATGTCTGCTAAAAGAATTTTATTGCTTGCATTTGCAGAAGGTAAAGCTAAAATTATTGCTCGAGCTATTGAAGGAGAATCAACTGAGTTATGTGCAGCATCTTTATTACAAAGACATCCAAATACTACTGTTTTTATTGATGAACCTGCTTCTAGTGAATTAACTTATTATAAGAATCCATGGAGTTTAACATTGAAAGATAGTACATTAAATATTCAATATGATAAAGCATTAATTAAGAAAGCTGTTGTTTGGTTAAGTAAGGAATGTAACAAACCAATTTTAAGTTTACAAGAAGAAGATTATTATCAACACCATCTCAACGCTCTTTTAGAACAATGTGGAAGTGCTGAAAGTGTTAACTTATTTGTTTTCCAATCTATTCAAGATGCTATTACTGGATGGCCAGCTGGAAAAAGAATTAAACCAACAGAACGAGCATTAAAAGTGTTTGATCATCCAACATTAAATAAGAAATCATTATATGATTCATCATTATCAAATCATAAAAGAATTTGTGTCTTTTCACCACATCCTGATGATGATGTTATTTCTATGGGAGGAACAATTGCTCGTTTATGTGAACAAGGAAATGAAGTTCATACTGTCTATGAAACTAGTGGAGCAATTGCTGTGTGGGATGATGACGTCAAGAGATTGACACATTTCGCTTGTTTATATTCTAAATTAATTGGGGCTAATACTGAATTGTTTGAATCAAAAGCTAAAGAATATAGTGAATTCTTTAAGACTAAAAGTTGTGAAAGTGGATTTAGAGATAATGAAGAAATTCTTGAAATTAAAAGGGTTATTAGAGAAAGTGAAGCTGTTGATGCAAGTGTTCATGCTGGAGTTAAAAGAGAAAATGTTCATTTGTTGAATTTACCATTTTACCAAACAGGAAAGACTGGTAAAAAACCAGTTGGACAAGACGATATTGATATTGTTAAAAAAGTTCTTAAACAAGTTAAACCTGAAATCGTATTTGCTGCTGGTGATTTAAGTGATCCACACGGAACTCATAGAAAATGTACTCGTGTTGTTTTGAAGGCTTTAGAACAATTAGAAAATGAAGGAGAAGAATGGGTAAAACAATGTGAGATTCTTCTTTACAGAGGAGCATGGCAAGAATGGGAAATTGAACGTGCTGATCTTATTGTTCCAATGAGTCCACAAGAAGTTGTTTTCAAAAGACTTGTTACTTTCAAACACCAATCACAAAAAGATCTTCCATTATTCCCAGGAGCTGATCCAAGAGAATTTTGGCAAAGAGCTGAAGAAAGAAATAGAAATACCGCTGAACTCTTGTCTAAGTTGGGATTTGCTCATTTTGCTGCTGCTGAAGCTTTCGTAAGATATGACAAATCCATGTCTATTTAAAAAAGTCCCTTCAATTTAATTTTTTCTCTTCTTTCTTATTATTTTTTCTTTTTGGTATTGTTATCATCACATGGTTTTTGTCAAATATGAAAGATAATTTTTTTATATGAAAAACTGAATTTCTAGTATTCAATATTTTTATTGATAGTCAATAGAAACTAACAACAAATGTAAATGTGAAAGAAATAAAATCTCAAAGATTGAATTAATGATAAGAATGTTATAAGTTAATATTCAATTAAATGGAGAAAATAAAGAAATACTAACCTTAAAATAAGAAAAAAAATTAAAAGATAACAAAAAAATAAATGAAAGAAGGGAATTGAATTTAAATGGTTTTATTTAAGAACTTTCTCTTATTGAAACACATCCACCACTTATCACATTTCTTTGGGTCATTCTTAAAAACAACTTGAGCTAATCTTAATCCAGTTTCGTTTCTAATAGCTGTCATATATTGTCTAACAACTTCTTTCTCTGTTGCTTTTAATGGCTCAACAATACCACCAAGACAGAATTTTCCATCACCTGGAAGTGCAAAATTTTCAATAGCCAAAGAGTATGCCATTTTTTCACATTCAACTTTAGTATGTCCATTAAACTATTTAATAATTATTAATCATTCTTTTTATGAACTTATGAAGTTAACAAACTTGTAATAAAAGTGATTGAATATAGAAAATCAAATAAACTAACAACTTATCTGCTTCACAAGTTGACATATCAAAATTCTTATAGAAAACATTTGCTTTGTAATAAGTTATTGCTTCATCAACAATATCCATGTCATCTCCTTTTAATAAAAATTTAGGATTAACTTTAACTTTAGTTTTAAATTGCATTAATGGGAAATTACCAGCTGTTTGGACAATATCTTTGTCAAGAACAGAGTGATAAGCTCCAGATTTTTTCATAATAATCTTATCTTGTTTGGCAATTGTGGTCATTTTAGTTTATTTTTTAGTTCTTTCTTTTTAAAAGTTCACCTCCTTCATCTTTTTTTCCTTTTTTTTAGTTCATTAAATATGTTATATATATCATAAATATCTTTTGAAGATTTTGGGAGTTTTCTCCATTATTCCAAAACCTTTTTGGTGAATATCAAATTAAAGGGGATTTTAGTTTTATATCAAAAAGTGATAAAAATGAGAAGGGATAATAAATTAAATAAATTAAGAAGTGAACAGACGGTATTTTAGGTATTTGTTCATCTACTAAACTGATGCCATGATGACGATATTAGAAAATGCAATGATGACAATTATCAATAAAGTGACTAATAAGAATTTAGCTTGTGGGGGTTCAACCACTTCAAGGGCAGGACGTTTTGTGATGAAAGACTTACCATCTGCACTTTTAATCATATCTTTAAATTTCAAGATAGCAATTAGTTAGTTTAAATAATTTGGTTCATAGTTTTGTTATCATTGAAATAAATGGTGAATTTTGACCAGTAAAGAATCACTTTTGAGAGAATAGAATATTTACTAATACAAATAGTATTTATCTAACGGTTTTCAAGAGATGAAAAAAAAGAAGACTCAGATGTAGTTTTCATAAGAAAGGTGTATAAAAGAAAATAAAACAATAAAGTTAAAAGAATAAGAGAAAGTAAGTAATGAAGAAGAAGACCAATCAAAATTAAATGAAGAAAGAAGAAAGATAAAACAAGAACTGAGAAAAGAACTTAGAAAATAGAAAATAAATAAAAAGAAGAGATGGAGAAGAAGGATAATATTGAAAAAACACTTATGAGTATTATAGAGAATATTAAGAAAAATAGAAAGCTTGTTGACCAAAATATAAGTAATTTAAGTATTGTATTTAATATTATCAGAGAAAATATTGAAAATATTAATGGAGAAAACGTTGAAACAATTATCAAAGAAACAATCAAAACAATTGATAATAATAAAGAAGTAGAACAACTTAATGTTATTGGGATTGCAATTTGTACATATTGTTTACCAGTTATTAAAAAGGAGAAAATAATTAATTTAATAGTAGATTACGTTAAAACATTTCCTAATGAATTTGAAACAGAAGCACTTATTTCCTTGACAATTGTTATTTACGAATTTATGATTATGACAGGAAATAAAACTATTAATAAACAATATTATTTTGGATATTCAAATATGGTATTAAATAAATATTCAACAAATGAGGATATTGTTGAATATTCAATGAGATTATTATGTAGAATAATTAAAGGAGATGGAGTATTAATAACAAATATTGTTGATAAACAAATTTGGACAATGTTAATGACAATTAGTGGAAAATATTACAATAACAATCAAATACAAAAGTATTTATTAAGAATACTTAATCAAATTATTAGTAATTTAACTATTAAAGAAAATAAAGAACTTATTATTCAATATTATTTAAATCGAATTAAAGAATCAGAAGGAGAAATAAAAGAATTGTTGTATAATGGAATATATTATTGCACTAAACAAAGTATCAATAATAATGATTTTATTAATTCGATTCTCCAAATTATTGGTGAAGAATTAAAAGAAGATAAAGAAAATAATTCAATTATCATTAGTAATTGTTTTGGAATATTAAATAATCTTCAAGAACAACAAATTGATATTTTTATAATTTCAACAATCATTGATAACATTATTCAATTAACTTTAAAATATATGAATGATATTGTTATTCAAAAATATGGAATACATTTAATTCGATTATCAAGTTTTAATGATAAGTTTCATTCTAATGAATCATTACTTTCACTTCGAGAGTCTATTACATTATACAAAACAGAAAATCAAATACTTGAAGATACTTGTGTAATTTGTTACAACTTATATTTAAATGAAGAAAATATAGAAAAGAAAGAAAATATTAAAACACTTGTTAATTTAATCAAAGAAACTAATTCAACTAATAAAATCATTTATGCAATATGGTATGCATTATCAAACCATCTTACTTTGAATTTTGTTCATTGATTTTTTTACTTATTATTTATTTCTTCTTTTAATTGTTATCCTTTTCAATTTGATGGTATTATTTTAAATTTTCATCTATTTAAATTAAATCATCTTCTTTTTGAAGTCTTTATGATTAATATAAGAGTTTGATTAGAGTAGAAATATACACCATTGTTTGTGAATGATGTCTTATATAATTCTGTTTTTTTTGTAATATTTATTTCATTTATGTTACTTATTTTATTCTTTTTTATTTCATTTATATTTCTTCTTGAGTATATTATTGAGGTATCATGAAATATATATTGATATATTTGATTTGTATATTTATTCATTTCTATCAATAATCATTTTTATTTGTTTTTCATAAAAAATGTTATTTATATTATTATTTCTTTGTTATAACAATACAAATCATCTATTTTATATTAATTTCATTGAATTGTTCTCTTATAATGTTATTGAAATGTTTAATTATTTTTAATAAATATTTTTCATCTAATTTGGTCAATTTATTATTATAAACAAATTTATTATTTAATTTATTTTGTACATTCTTTTTATATAATATTCTATCAATTATATCATATATTTCCATTAATTCAATTATAATTATATCAAATATCAAATTAAATATATTTTTAAATAAAACAAATATAATATATATTTCATTTATTATCAACATTTTATACATAATTTTATAAATTATAATATTATTGATTCAATTTTCTTGTATCATTTTGTTAGTTAATAACTATTAATTATTATTAGAATAAATGAATGAAATATCAATGATATAATTTGATAAATAATAAGAATATTTAATAAATGATATTCAATAAATAAATTATTTCTCTTTCATTTTTAAACATTGAGTTGTTCTTATTATTATTTTTAGCATTATGAATAAAAAATGATGATAAATCATAAAATGAAAATAAAATAAAATGAATAAAATAATTATTATTAAATAAATGAGAGATAATATGATATTATTTGAATTATAATAATATGATATTCATAAATTATATTATTTATTATTTTTTATATTTCTTAATTTCATTACTTCTTTATTGTTAATTTATTTTTGTGTGTGTTTATTGGTTTGTTAATTTTGTTTTATTTAATTGTTTGTGTTGTTAGTTTATTCTTTACATTCTATGGATGGTGTTTTATTTTATTTTCATTCTAATTAGTTGTTGTTGTTATTTTATATTATTTATATTTTATTGATGTATTTATCTTGTTACTTCTCCTATTATCGTTTATTTCTCTGGTTATGTTATTATTTTATTCTTTATTTACGTTACTCACTTTTCTATTATTTTCTATTAATAATTTACATTTATTAGTTATTGATGTATTCAATATGTTAATCACTTATGAAATATATAAACAT